GGAGGAGTCACCTCGTCTTGTTTAGGTTTTAATTGCACCACGCTCCCCTGCCCTTGGATTAATTACAGAGCTGAAGTGGTCAGACCTGTTTGCTGTAGGAAAAGGCAGGGCTGGAGTGTGGCAGCAGGAACCAGACCTGGAGGGAAGGCAGGAGCCTGCAGATCCTCAGGGAACTGGCCACGGGAACGGGCTGGAACCTCTGCCACGAGCCAGACATCAGCCCTGGAGCCCTGGGCTGGGAAAAGCTTCCCCCAGCAGCAGGACAGCCCCATGTCCCCCTGCTGACACCCCCAGGGCCAGCAGGGTGTCTCTGCATTCAGGAGCCTGCAGGAGGACTGGGGCTCCAGCCAGGGCTGCTTTTATTCAACTTTTACACCTGTGGTGAACAGAGCTTCGAGAGAGGACACAAACCCTTCAAAACCCTTCAAACCCTGCAGCTGTGCAGCACATCCCACTGCCAGCAGACAGCCCAGAGCCCAGCTCCCCTCCAGAGCCACCTCCCCTGGCCGTGGGAAAGGTGTGAAGCAGCCTCTGCAGCCTAAAAGGGCACAGAGTTCTTCCCAAAGCTGCCAATGTTTGGTGCCCCTGAAAGGTGTTTTGCAATCCCTTCCTGAAGGAACTGCTTTAGATAAACAACCTCTCCCCATGATGGGAGACAAAGCCATCTAGGTGACCAGAGACCAGCAAATTTAACTGTCTGCAAAGGGATAAATCTCCCCTTCAGCTGCAGGTTTGAAGTGTATTTCCTCTTCTCACACACACCCTGTGTATGCAGTCACAGAACCACGGAATGGTTTGGGCTGGGAGGGACCCTAAAGCCCATCCCATGTCCTGCCATGGCAGGGACACCTCCCAGTGTCCCAGGCTGCTCCAAGACCCCTCCAGCCCAGCCTGAAAAGCTCCCGGGAATGGAAATGAGAGGTGTGTGAGCAACCCTGGGTGAGGAACAGCCCTGGGTGAGGAACAGCCCTGGGTGAGGAACAGCCCCTGGGTGAGGAACAGCCCTGGCCAGGAACAGCCCTGGCCCAGAACAGCCCTGGCCCAGAGCAGCCCTGGCTGTTCAGCCACGGTTCCCTGCCCACTTTGATCTGTGTGAGGCAGCAGGGTCAGACTGCAGGGCAGAACAGAACAGCTCCAGCCTGGGGAACACACATCCATCACTCCCTGCCAGCCAGGACAAGCCATTCACGTTGCCATTTACAGCACCATTTACAGCAGCATTTACAGCAACCCTGCAGCAATTCCAGCCCCAGCACAGCAGTCACTGGGCTGGAGCCTCTGCTGGAGGAGCTCAGCCAGGAGCAGCCCTGGCCAGGCCACCCAGTCACCAAGAGGCTTCATGTCCAACAGAGGCAATAAATAAAACTGTGCCTGGACAAAATGAGGCTTTTCAGTAACTGTGAGCAGAAATGGCTGATTGTACAAGCCAGGCTTGGGATTCCCTTCCCATGGCCCTGCCAAGCCTCTCACTGTGGTTCTCTCTGTGGTTCTCACTGTGCAGGCAGCTTCCCCAGCACTGGGTGGCAATGGGAGAGGCCAGCCATGCCCCAGCCATGAGCACTGGGACCCCAAAATCCCCATAGTGATCCCCCAGCATGGGGGATTCAGCAGGAAAGGGGGGACTGCACCCCTCTGCAGCCACAGCCCAGGGGAAAGCCATGGCAGAGGAGACAAAAGCACCTTTCACAGGGAGCAGACAGAGCCAGAGGGAAGGGATGCAAAGGGAGACACACATCAGAGAGCCTGAGATCCTGATAAAGCATCAAAGGGGCCCAGGGCCTCACAGCAGCCACCCTAAACTGCTCCCCATGCAGCCTGCTGTCCCTTCCCTCCTCCAGAGGTGAGCAATTCCCAGCCTGAGCCACCAGCAGAGCCTCGGGACATGACACTGGAGCCCCAGGAAAGCCCAGGACACCATGACAGAAATCCAGGAATCAGTGACAGAGCTCCAGGACACAGTGACAGAGCTCCAGGGCTGGCAGCAGCTTCCCTGGGCTGGGCAGGATCGCTGCCCCCCAGCACCTCAGCCCACCATGAGCAGCACAGAAGGGCAGCAGGTTTTACCCTGAGCACACAGGAGATCCCAAAAGGACAGTGGGAGATCCCAAAAGGGCAGTGGGAGATCCCAGCTGCACCTCTGGGAGCAGCCCTGGAGATGGGAATGGCAAACCTGGAGATGGGAATGACAAACCAGGAGATGGGAATGGCAAACCAGGAGATGGGAATGGCAAACCTGGGGGTGGGAATGGCAAACCTGGAGGTGGGAATGGCAGCCCAGGATGCTCCAGGAGCCAGAGCTGCTCCCATAAATGCACGAACACCCTGTCCCTGCTCCAGGGGAGCTGTGCTGGGATGGCTCCCCTGGCTGAGGCTGCTCTGAGCAGTCTGGCTCACCCAGGCCTGGCTCTGGTGCCCAACCCGAGCATTCACAGACCCCCATAGCCAGGACTGGTGGCCTTGGTGGCCTTGGCCAGGGCTGGAGGTGGCACTGGGGTACTCACAGAGAGGGGGCCCGAAGAGCACCGTGTCCAGAGCCTTGAGCTGCAGCTTCTGCCGGTGGCTGCGGTCGGTCATCTTGAGCACCGTGCCCATCATGGTGGCATTGTTCACTGCCAGCCTGCACAACGGGACAGCAGTGAGCCTGGGCATGGCCACTGGGACCACAACACACCCTGCTACCAGCACAGACCCCTCCCTGCTGCCGGGTCTGAGCCTCGGCGTCCCCAGGACACTTTGCAGCAGCATTGCTAGGACTGGGAGAGAGCAGGAAAAGCCAGGCCTAATTCATTAACCTGACAGCATGAGGGAGTGACTTCCCATCAAAACTCAGCTTTTGGTGTCCCACCAATCATTAATAACTGTTTTTTAACCAAATCTCCACTGGCTTTACATCCTGTGTCACAGACCATAAAGCACAGGTCTCCCTTGGAAGGAATGTGGACACACTCTGTGCTGCCTCAAAACCATCCTCATTTTGCCCCCAGTTCATTCCTCCTTCCCACTCAGTTTAAAAACCCCTTTTCCAGCAGCAGGAATCTTTATCCTTAAAGCTGCACTGAGGTTTTTCAAACTCCTTACAAGTTCAGGCTCCCAGCCAGTGTTTGTCCTACATGGAACCATGGACTGGGTTGGG